CCTGATTCAGCCTCCCAAGTGAGCTGGGACTACAGGCATCCGCGCCCACACATGGCCGGGGCTTCATTTCTTTTCTTATAATATATATTAGGTTGGCCAACTTAATTTCTTTCGGTATTTTATAATAATGATGACGGGATCTCGCTTTCTTGCTCATGGCTGGGTTTCGCAACTCCTGACTCTGGAGCGTATCCGCCACTCAGGCCTCCCAGAGAAGCTAGGGCATTACCTTATGTTGTATGAATAAAAAGATTACGATCCTTTGCAGTTCCTGCTTGCATTATCATTTATTACAGCCCTACACTTGCTAGACAAAGTGGGGACTGTCCTGTATATCTTATAAGAAAATGCATTGTAAAGAACTATATAATTTTGTGAGGATTCAGTGAAGACTACTTACTTCTGCAAATGTGCTTCCCTACTCACCATGAAGTTCAAATGGGAAGACAGGAGGTTCACCTCCTTACAGATTCTATCTCCTCACTCAAGACTGGACTAAGGGGGACACAAAAACCCAAAGTGGGCTCAATCATAGCATCCTCTGTCCCTGCATACAGGTTGTATGGTTCAGGGATGGGGACCATCTGATCAACCTAGGGAGATAGGAGGCTTCTAAACAGATGTGAACTGCATGAATGAGGTCCAACCCGAATCTCAGGTCCGCTTTGATGATAGTAGAAATATGGTGAAGGCATCTAATGATACTGCGGCAGCCATTTATGCTACTGCCACTTGAAAGAAATGGTGTAATGAGAAGGAATTGAAGCACAGATTCAGAGAGGGAGATAGAATCTGTAAGGAGGTGGAACCTCCTGTTCCCATTTGAATTCATGGTGAGTAGGAAGCACATTTTGCAGAAGTAGTAGTCTTCACTGAATCTACAAATTATTAGTTCCTTTACAATGCATTTTCTTATAGATAATACAGGCAGTCCCACTTTGTCTAGAAGTGTAGGGCTGTAATAATGATAATGCAAGCAGGAACTGCAAAGTGATCGTAATCTTTTTATCATACAACATAGGATATGCCTAGCTCTCTGGGAGGCTGAGGTGGGCGGATCGCTCCAGGTCAGGAGTTCGAAACCAGCCTGAGCAAGAGCGAGATCCCGTCTCTATTATAAATAGAAAGAAATTAATTGGCCAACTAATATATATAGAAAAAATGAGCCGGGCATGGTGGCGCATGCTGTAGTCCAGCTACTTGGGAGGCTGAGGCAGGAGATCACTTGAGCCCAGGAGTTTGAGGTTGCTGTGAGCTGAGCTGACGCCACGGCACTCACTCTAGCCTGGGCGACAAAGTGAGACTCTGTCTCAAAAAACAAAACATAGGATATGGAGTATATTTTCTTTGCCTAGGTGATTGCCATCTCCTAAGTTTGGATCAAGCTTTCAGTGTTTATCTAATGTCATGAAATCTGTAAGAGTTCCTTTAATGTGGAGATTTTGCTGATGTCACTTTCTCTGGGACATTTTTATCCTTCTCTCTCAAACCACTTTCCTCATTGATGTTAATAAGTTCCCTTCACTAAGTTCCTCTGGCTACATATCTAGAGTCTCTCAAACAGCCGCATTGTCATTCTCACAGTTAGCTATTTCTTCTGTAACTTCTTTACATTTGATTTGAATTTCATTCCTGCATTGTCACTGTTCATTTCTTTGTTGTACTTTAGTGTTTGTGGGCCAATTTCTTCTTTAAATTATCTACTTTTGTAAAATGTCATGTGGATTTATTGCTGGGAGACAAGGCAGTAATACAACTCCTAACTTTGCTGTCTATGCACAAACTGAATGAAGACTGGTGTGCACTGAGTGACTAGTCACTGACAGAAGTGATGCGATTGCTCACTGATCATGATACATATCTGTTACTTATATATGATTTGTGGACTGAAGAGTTAGCAGCAAAAGTTATACTTTATCCAGAACTCATAGTTAATAAATATGCTGTGAATATACATTGGATTTGAACTGTGTTCTGGGAGACTAGTGTTATTTAACAAAGTCATGGTGTCTGAAATTCGTGCATATCAGAACTGCAATGTGAGGACTGCCTATGTTAAGACACTTAACATGACCTATATATGACACTATCATCTGGCTTCGCTTTCTTTTTTTTTTTTTTGAGACAGAGTCTCGCTTTGTTGCTGTGGCGTCAGACTAGCTCACAGCAACCTCAAACTCCTGGGCTCAAGCGATCCTCCTGCCTCAGCCTCCAGAGTTGCTGGGACTACAGGCATGCACCACCATGCCTGGCTAATTTTTTCTATATATATGTTAGTTGGCCAATTAATTTCTTTCTATTTATAGTAGAGACAGGGTCTTGCTCTTGCTCAGGGCTGGTTTGAACTCCTGACCTCGAGCATCCGCCTGCCTTGGCCTCCCAGAGAGCTAGGATTACAGGCGTGAGCCACTGCGCCTGGCCTGCTTGCTTTTTAAGGTTCATCTCAAGTCCACTCTTCCTTGGAACTATGCCTTGGCCATGTGTTTCTCTTAAGTTTGAATTCCCCTGCGTTTTCCCAGCTGCCCAAAAAAAAAAAAATTAGCCAGGCCTGGTGGCACACACACAGTTCTAGCTATTCAGAAGGCTGAGGCAGGAGGATCGCGTAAGCCCAGGAGTTTAAGGCTGTGGTGAACTATAAGCCCAGGAATTCAAGGCTGTGGTGAACTATGATCACACCACTGCACTCTAGCCT